GCCGCAACGCTTCGCCCAGGAGGTTGCAGCAGTTTGCTGTCAAAGGGGGGAAAAACCACCCGGGCCGGACAGTTGGCGTTGACTATACGGCCATGGGCGTTTACAAAACAGCCCTGCCCTGTTCGATTCCTGTCCTGGCTGCGTTTACCACACGGCTTCGCGTGTCGGGGCGAGTACTATCGGGGTGGATGTTCCGCCCTTTATGTTGCAAGCAAAAAACACCTTGGCTATACGGGTGGCCTTGCGGTCGGGCCCGCAGCACCTCCGCGCCGGCCATTGGGGGGGCATTGCGGCCTCCCCGCATGTGCGCCGCCCCGAAGAAGTTTAGGCCCGGATCCCCTGCCTGGGCTTGGGGCGGCTGGAGAAGGGGGGAGGATGGAGGAACAGGAGGAGGAGGACGAGGAGGAGGCGGAGGCGGAAGAGCGGAGGAGGCGGAGGCGGAGGCGGAGGCGGAGGCGGAAACGGAGGCGGAAGCGGACGCGGAGGCGGAGGAGGAGGAGGAGGAGGAATAATAATACTAATAAGCATACTAACAATAATACGAATGCAAAGCAGAAAAACAATAATAACATTATGCATAAGAAGAAGAATAATAACAATCATAAGAAGAAGACAACTAATACAAATATCAATAATACTAATCATATTAACAATAATAATAATACGACTAATACTAATAATACTACTAATACTAATAATAATAATGATGCTACTAATACTAATAATAATAATAGTAGTGATAATAATAATAACAATAATAACAGTAATAATAATACTACTAATAATAATATAAATAATAATAATACTAATAATAATGATACTAATAATAATAATAATAATAACAACAACAATAATAATAATGATGATCACAATAATGATAATAATAATCATAAGAGTAATAGCTAATAATAATAAGAGGAGGAGGAGGAGGAGGAGGAAGAGGAGGAGGAGGAGGAGAAGAAGGAGACAGGAGGGATGAGGACGAGGAGGAGGAGGAGGAGAGGGAGGAGGAGGAGGGGGAGGAGGAAGAGGAGGACGAGGAGGAGGAAGAGGAGGAAGAGGAGGAGGAGGAGGAGGAGGAGGAGGAGGAGGAGGAACGGGGACGGAATCAGGGGGCGAAAAACGGGGCGAAGAACGGAATTAGGGGGCGAAGAACGGGGACGGAATCAGGGGGTGAAGAACGGGGCGAAAAACGGAAGTAGGGGTCGAAGAACGGAGTTTTCCGCCGTCGGGGGCGCCTGCCCCCTAGGCGGCTGCAGAGATTTTGCCCCTACCGTGCCGCGTCGGGGCATATAGCGGGGAAGGGCCATGAGGGTCATGAGGATGCAGGCCGTCCACTGGCCCCTCGCACGCTGGCGATGACGGAATGGCTCAGCCTGTGCCGGCCTTCTCTCCTCACAAGCAAGGTCGACCCCCTCACACCAAGGAGTGGCTCAGCCTATGCTGGCCTCCTCCTCACAAGAAGGGGGCCGACTCCCCCACGCCGGCGCCGGGTCCTTTCCCATTACACAAGCGCCTCAGGGGAACGACGGCCGTGCAACTGGGCAGTGGAGAGAGCGGGGGAGGCGGAGGAGGAGGAGGACCAAAAGAAGGAGGGTTATTCCTCCTCCTCCTCCTCCACATTTCAAGCTGCGTTCTCCTACTCGCACCCCCTCCTCAGCTTTCATCCCCTCTTTCTTGGCCTCTTCCTCTCCCCGTGTCTCCCCTAAGTCAGATCCCACTCGAAGGACGGTCCTATAGCGGTCCGCTTGCTCGTTTACCCGTAATACTGGTCAGTGAACCTCATTTACTTATTCTTCTTCCTTCTTCCTCCTGCTGCTCCTCCTGTCTCTTTTCCCCTTTCCTCCGCCTCCTCCTCCTTTTCCTCCTCCTCCTCCTCCTCCTCCTCATCATCATCATCATCCCTCCTCCTGCCCCTCCTCCCCCTCCACCACCTCCCTCCTCCTCCTCCTCCTCCTCCTCCTCCTCCTCATCATCATCATCATCATCATCATCATCATCATCATCATCATCATCATCATCATCATCATCATCATCATCATCATCCTCGCCGCGCTCTCTCTCTCTCTCTTTCTCACTCTCTCTTTTCTTTTCCTTTTTGTTCTCTCTCTCTCTCTGTCTTTCTTTCGCACGGCTATGACAGCCATCCCTTGGCTCCAGGACCTGGGAGCGCAGCCGATGGCCGTGCAACGCTCGCGGTGCTGCTCTTACCGCTCCATTGCCGGCCATTCTCCTACATTCGTGTCCACGCATGTGGTTCATGATGCATGGTACCCATGTGTTGCTACTGTTGCTACTGCTGACTCTTCTCACATGCATGCCAATGCTTTTCCACATGTGATGCAACAAACAAGTAAGAAGTGTAGTAGCTCATGTTAACTGGTGTTGCGTGGGAAATATCCTACGACCCATGAGCCCTATCTCGACGAAAGTGGCGACGACCTGATGGACCTCAGCATCAGTGGAGAAGCCCACGTTTCCATACCCCATTGACCTGCAGCAGGCGGTGCCGTTCTCGGTGTTCGCTCTTCTGTACTCCACCGTGCATGCCCGCTTCATGCGGCCTTTTCGGATGCGCCAATTCTCGTCGTAGGAGAGGTTCTCAACGTAGACCAGGTGCTCGCCGCACTCCAGATTTCGTAATAAAAGGGAGGGGGTCTGGACCCTCCAAGACAAGCCATTTCAGACCCCCCCTGTGGGAGAACCTCCAAAACATCGTCCCCAGACCCCCCCAGGCCCTCCAAGATAGCCTGGAAGAGACCCCCCCCGAAATGAGACCCCCCTCCCTTTATTTCGAAATCCTGAGTACACTCTGTTATCTCCGCAGGAGCCCTTGCCGCCTCCGCTCCGTTGTGCGGTGCCACTATCCGCGGTCACTGCCAGCCGCTCTCGTCCCTGCTGGCCTACGCATGTCGCTGCTGACGTATGGTAGCCAGCTCTCTCCCTGCTGCTGGCAGCTCTAGCTGGTTTCGGGCCGGACGAAAGGGGGGATCGGGAAAGGGGGGGGTACGAAATTTGCTGCATGCAGCTGGTTTCGGCCCCGACGAGGGGCCCATTCCTCGATACATGGCCGCCTCCGGCGCCGGGAGGCGCCAGGAAAATCAGCTACGTGAGCTGATTCTCAAACCCCCCCTTTGCTATCCCCCCCTTTCGCCCGACCCGATGGTTCTTCTCGCACCCGTTGGCCCACTGAGGTAGCTGATAACGCCTGGTCTTCGGTCTCTCCTCTGTCTGCAGCCACTGCTAGCTCTGGTCGGGGGCCTGCTCAATTTCCAGAAGCAGCCTGACGAGGTCGCGGTTGCCTGACTTGGCCGCCTTGTCGATAGCCACCCGCAGTAATTCAGGATCTCCGTCGCCTTCGACGTGGTAGCTGTTGCGATCGCTGTCCTCATCGAAGCTTTCGGTCTCGCTCCTCGTAGTAGCTGTCAGCCTTGTCGCTCTCGCCTCTGTCTGATGTCGCTGCTGCATCTTCTCGCACATGCAGTTCCTCGTCTTCCCTCCTGCTCCTCGTAATGTCAGCGTATCCCAGTCGTTCGAATACGGATGCTTATCGATCGACAGAAAACTTGCCAGGGCCCTGTATAGATGCGGGCACCACTGCCTGTTGCACCACGGTCTGCTGCACTACTGCCAGCTGCCTGCTGCCGTTGCCTGCTGCCACCGCTGCTGCCACTGCCGGCTCTACACGCGCCACTGCCTGCTGCACTCTTGTTAGCTGCCACATCACCACTGCTCACACTGCTTCTTTTCGCACCACCGCCTGCTGCCATTGCCGGGTCTTCTCGAACCACTGCCTGCTGCCATTGACGGTCGTTCGTCCTCCTCCCGTAGCTGCTGGAATCGGGCTCGTGCTTCTCGGCCGCGCTCGGAATTGATGATTTCGGGCTCGCTTACACCACTGCCGGCTGTCACTTCACGCACGCACCAGACCGCGACGTACGTTGGCCAATTGTATCAACGCTGCCTACTGCCACTGCTGCTGCCTGCTCTACTCACTCGCGCTGAGCTGTATCTGCTCTGCCTCTGCCGTTGCCACTGCCGCTGCCGCTGCCAGTTCGTGTTGCACCATTGCCTGCTGCACCACTCACAGCTGCCACTGCATTTCCCACGCCGCCTGTTCTCGCACCACTGCCTGCCCCCTCTGCCGGGCCTTCTCGCACCACTGCCTGCTGCCACTGCTGGCGTTCGAGGGTTTGGCGTCTCGCGAGGGAGGCCTTTCGCGCCCGCCTGGCCATCTCGAGGGAGTCCATGTAGCGAATGGCCTCGGGCTCGCGCTTCGAAGCACTTCCTTCGTAGCTGACGGCATCGGGCTCGTGCTTCGCGACTCCGTTTCCCGCAGTTGGGCGTCGAACGTCGTAGCTGATGGCATCGGGCGCGCACTGCGCGTCGCCGCCCTCGAAGCTGGCGACGTCGGGCTTGTGCTTCGTGACGCCAGCCTCGTAGCTGATGGCGTCGGGCTCGTGCTTCGGTGTACTACTCTCGCAGCTGCTGGTGTGGGGTGTGTGCTTCTCGGTGCCACGCTCGTAGCCAGAGCGGCCACTGGTTGCTGCTGTCGCTCCTGGCCGCTCGCTGCGCCGGCTGCCAACGCAGGCACTTCTCGCACCACTGTGTGCTGCACGATTGCCCGCTGCCGTTGCACCACTGCCCACTCTGTCACGTCTCGCTCCACTGCCTGCTGCCACTGCCAGGTCTTTTTGCACCGCTGCCCCTCCTCCTCCTCCTCCTCCTCCTCCTCCTCCTCCTCCTCCTCCTCCTCGTCCTCATTCTTTTCCTCCTCCCCCTCCTTCTGCTCCTCCTCCTCGTCCTCCTCCTCCTCGTCCTCCTCGTCCTCGTCCTCCTCGTCCTCCTCCTCCTCCCCCTCCTCCTCCTCCTCCTCCTCCTCCTCCTCCTCCTCCTCCAACCTTCCTCTACTCTCCCCGCCTCGCATCCCCGACCTCCCCCTCATCTCCTCCTCCCCCACCCCTTTCCTCCACCTTGTCGTGGCCGTTGCCGCCGCCGAGGACGTGCCCATACGTTTCCCGCGGGCTGTTCGTGCTCGCGGGCATGGCCGCGGGCGGCGCCATCGCGGCGGCCCACTATACCTGCCCGCCTGTGGGCGCGCCCGCCGGGCCGGCCCCCCCCTGGAGATGTGAGCTGGCTGGCAGAGAACAGGATTCCACGGCTCCCGAGGGACGACGAGTATTCGCTGCCTTGTCTGGCACGCCATCCGCACGATGGGACGACGAGTGTTCGCTGCCAGCCATCCGAACGATGGGACAACGAGTGTTCGCTGCCTTGTCTGGTGCACTGGGCTGGCGCGGCGCCCCACGAAGACCCACTGCTGCTGGGGACGCCCCCCTCGCGTTGGGGACCCGCGGACAAGATTCGTCGCCATGAGATCTTTCAGAAGGGGAAAAACACACTGACACAATTAATCGTCGATTCCCCAGGAAATATAAGAAAATATGGACAGTGGGGGGGAAGACAGAAACCCAGAACATATGGGAAAATATGGTGAATCTTTTTTATTTGTGTGTATTTATTTGTGTGTCCCTGGGCCCCTTCAATCTTGGAGCCCGGCTGAGCGACGGAAGAGAACGGGGCCGTCCTCACCCACACGCGCGCGTCGGCTTCCCGCGGAGGGTCGCGCGTGAGCGCCCTCTTCCAATGGAGGAGAAACCAGCCAGACCCGATGATTGAGGTTTGCTAAACGACACTAAGGCGTTTGCGAAACAGCCCTGCCCTGCTCGATTCCTTCTCTGGGTGCGTTTCTTGAACGGCCTCGCTTGCCGGGGTGGTTATATTCTGGGGGGGGGATTTTTTGCCTCCAGCGCGCTGTGCCACGCCGGCGGCCCGCGCAAGCCTTCAGTCGGGCCCGTCCCTTTACTGGAGAAATCTTCAAAAACAGTAATGAAATTGTCCGGGGATTATTCTTTGTGAGTATTGTTTGACCATTCTGGAGTATTTGTTGAATCCTTTTTATGTTTCGTCGAAAATCCCCCTGTAGCGGGGCACGCCCAACTTAACTCAGGAGGGAAAAAAACACACAGACACAATTAATCGTCGATTCCAAAGAAAATATGGGAAAATATTGGCATTGTGGGGGGAAGACAAAACAAACGAAATTAGCCGGGCGAAGGACCCAACCATATGTAGTTGTGCGTACCGTCGTTGTACGCACCGCATTCGGAGGAGTTCCCTACAGGGCCACGAAACGTGTGAGGGGTGTGCCAAAATTCGTCTGGTGGGCGCATGCGAAAGCAGCCACTGGGGCTGTTGGTGGAATTCCCGATGCGGCCACGAAGCGCTGAGAGGTGTGCCGAAATAGGTGCGGTGGGCGCATGCGAACGCAGCCACTGGGGCCGTCAGTGGAGCTACCTCTGGGGCCGCGAAACGTGTGATGGCTGTGCCGAAATGGGTGCGGTGGGCGCATGCGAGCGCAGCCACAGGCGCCTTCGGTGGAGCTCCTTATGGGGCCACGAAACGCTTGAGGGGTGCGCCGGAATGTGCGTGGGTGACGCATGCGGGCGGTGGCACCGGGGCCTTCGGTGGCGCTCCCTATGGGGCCACGAAACGTGTGAGGGGTGTGCCGAAATGGGTGCGCGGGACGCGTGCAAACGTACAAGTGGTTTGACAAAGTGGGCGTTGGGGACGCATGCGGGCGGCGGCACTGGGGCCGTCAGTGGAGCTCCATATGGGGCCACGAAGCGTGTGAGAGGTGTGCTGAAATGGGTGTGGGTGACGCATGCGGGCGGCAGCACTGGGGCCTTCGGTGGAGCTCCCTATGTGGCCACGAAGCGTGTGAGGGGTGTGCCGAATTTGGTGTGGGTGATGCATGCGGGCGGCAGCACTGGGGCCTTCGGCAGAGCTCCTATGGGGCCACGAAACGTGTGAGGGGTGTGCCAAATTGGGTGTGGGGGACGCATGCGGGCGGCAGCACTGGGGCCTTCGGCGGAGCTCTTATGGGGCCACGAAGGTGTGAGGGGTGTGCCGAATTGGGTGTGGGGACGCATGCGGGCGGCAGCACTGGGGCCTTCGGCGGAGCTCCTATGGGGCCACGAAACGTGTGAGGGGTGTGCCGAATTGGGTGTGGGGGACGCATGCGGGCGGCAGCACTGGGGCCTTCGGCAGAGCTCCTATGGGGCCACGAAACGTGTGAGGGGTGTGCCAAATTGGGTGTGGGGGACGCATGCGGGCGGCAGCACTGGGGTCTTCGGCGGAACTCCTATGGGGCCACGAAACGTGTGAGGGGTGTGCCGAATTGGGTGTGGGGGACGCATGCGGGCGGCAGCACTGGGGCCTTCGGCGGAGCTCCCATGGGGCCACGAAACGTGTGAGGGGTGTGCCAAATTGGGTGTGGGGGACGCATGCGGGCGGCAGCGCTGGGGCCTTCGGCGGAGCTCCTATGGGGCCACGAAACGTGTGAGGGGTGTGCCGACTTGGGTGTGGGTGACGCGGAGGGGGAGGAGGGAGGAGGGGGCAGAGGAGGAGAGGAGAGGAGAGGAGGACGCGGGGCACCGTCTCTTCAAAACGAGGACCCAACACCACAGGATGGTTGGGAAATATAGGAGAAGATGGGGAATCCTTTTATTTGTGTGTATTTGTTTGTGTGTCCCTGGGCCCCTTCATTAACGCAAGCCGCGGCGTGAGGTCGCTGTGCCACCGTGCGTGGGAGCCGTGCCCCTCCGTCGAGCCGAGCGGCTGCGTGGCCGGCGGCGGCGCCCCCCCCTCCCGCGCCGCCGGCGCCGGGGTCGTCAGCGCGCCGCCAGCCTCCCGTCGCGGGGGCACGGCCGCACCCTGAAGTCGGGCTTGTCCCCCTGCAGCGGGATTTTCGACGAAAAAACAAAAAAATCCAAAATAGTCAAGCAAGATTCCAAAAATAGCCTGGGGAGCATTTTTTTAGTATTTGTTTGACCTTTTTGGGGGCATGTTTTATTTTTTGGTCGAAAATCCACACGTAGGGGGGCACGCCCGACATAACCGTACCCTCACGGCAGCTCGACCCGGAGCGTCCAGAGTCAGATCCCTTCCCAGACATGGTCGCGTCGAAGCAAGAAATCGGGGCGGGAGGTTTTTGCCCCATTTTCGGCCTCGGGGGGCCCCGGCCGGGCCTCGGGACTGTCAAGAAGCGGTTCAAGAGGAAGAGCCGGTCCGGTGGGAAGGGTCGGGACTTCCAGGGTCAGGAGGGGCAAAAACACACAGACACAATGAGTCGTCGATCTGCAGTAAAACTATGCGAAAATATGGGAAGCGGGGGGGAAGACGAAACTCCCCCTCCCCAAAAAATTGAAAAATATGGGGAGTCGTGGGACTTGTGCGTAGTTCTTTGTGTATCCCTGGGCCCCTTCGCACGGGCCCCGCCTCGAAGGCGTCAGGACGCGGCATGTCTGGGGGCCCCCGTCGCGTCGTGGCGGGTTCCGCCGGCGAGGCGCCTGGGCAATGAAGTCGGGCCGGCCCCCCTCCACAGGGGAGGATTGTTCGACCGGGGGCGATTCGTCTGGCATTTTTTTTACCGGGGGCGATTTTTTTCGACTGTCGAAGACCGATTTCTGACCACATCCACCTCTGGATCCTCGATTCTATGATAGGCCCTCGGGGGTGGAAGTGGGTAGGTTTTCCTTCCCCTGGGGCGGGGGAACTGCCCACCTCCACCTCTGGAAACCCCTTTTCGCAAGGCACCTCGGGAAGTGGGTGTGGTCAGAAATCGGTCTCCTAGACTGGGGACGACTAGTCAACGAAGAGTCCGGGGGCGATTTTTCCAGCGTGTTTGGACCGTTTTGGTGCATGTTCTGGGTATTTTTTGTATGTGTCGTCCAAGATCCCTCTGTAGGAGGGCAGGCCCGACTTCAATGGCAGCAGCAGTGGTAAAAAAGAGGCGGGTCGAGGAGCGGGAGGTCGGCTCGTGGGAGCGCGCAGGGGCAGGGGTGAGAGCCTGGGCCATGTCACGGGGGGCCACGTGCGAGCCCGACCCCCTCCCCCCCCACGGTGTCTGAGGGGGAGGGCGGGAGGACGAGAGCCCAGAAGATATGGGGAAAGATTGGGAATCCGGCTCTTGATGTGTACTTGCTTCTGTGTCCCAGGGCCCCTTCACAGGGGCGTGAGCCTGACCATGTTAGGGGGCCACATGCGAACCCGACCCCTACCCCCCCCCACGATGTCTGAGGGAGAGGGCGGGGTTCCCTTCGCTCGGGGTCTCCCGAACGAAGGGAACGTCACGAACAAAACGCTACTCGAAAGCACGATCGACCCACGAACCCAGGAACGGAATATAGAAATGCACTGGGGTGCACATGTAGGGGGGCCACATGCGAACCCGACCCCTACCCCCCACGATTTCTGAGGGGGAGGGTGGGTTTCACTTCGTTCGGGAGACCCCAAGCGAAGGGAACCCCGCCCTCCCCCTCAGAAATCGTGGGGGGTAGGGGCAGGGTTCGCGTGTGGCCCCCTACATGTGCACCCCGGTGCATTTGCTACCAAGGATCGCGGCCGTCGGGGCACACCATAAATCAGGAGGGGCAAAGCACACACAGACACAACTCATCGTCGATTCCCAGAAAGATATTGGAAAAGATGGGAGGTGGGGGGGAAGACGAAAACGCAGAACATATAGGAACAGATTTTGGGAATCCTGTTATTTGTGTGTATTTATTTGTGTGTCCCAGGGCCCCTTCATAGAGGTGAGAGCCTGACCGCGTGCACCCCAGTGCATTTGCTACCAAGGATCGCGGCCGTCCGGGCACAACATAAATCAGGAGGGGCAAAGCACACACAGACACAAGTCATCGTCGATTCCCAGGAAGATATTGGAAAAGATGGGAGGTGGGGGGGAAGACGAAAGCACGGAAAATATGGGCCAAGAAAGGAATATAGACATGTGAGACATTGCGTCGCTGCCCGTCTCTGTCTGCCAGCATTATGTTCGACCTTGTGAGGGCCCTCATGGACGATGGCGATGGCAAGCTGGTGGAGGAGGAGTGGGTCGACTTCAACGAAAGCTTGTTGCTCCTACTCCCCAAGGCGCCCTCGGGGCTCGGGGACACCCCCTTCTGGGGAAGGGTATTACGACCCCGAGAACACCCGCCCCATGTCGGCCACCAACACTGACAATCGGCTGCT